TGTGTATGTCTGTTCTTGGGCGTTCTTGTTGCCTTGGGTCGCAGGTTTGCGACCGGTTGTCTTGGCTTTGCGTTGCAGAGTTTGTGGCGGCCGCCTCCCGGGTTAGCCCTTTCTTTTCCTTCTCTTTGGGTATGAAGCTCCAGGGAGCCGTAGGGGCTCCCCACAGAAAACCAGCGTTGAATGTAATGAAACGCCATTTTCTGGGTGAGCCCCGGAGGCTCCCTGGCAACCCTCCCTCCCTCCGGTCGGCGGTTTTTTCGCGTTGGTTGAGGCTTAGCTTCCGAACTGGAGCTTGGCAGCCGGCGCGGTAGGTCCGGGGCTCCCCCCTCCCCCTCCCGGGGTGGGGAGGGCTGCGCGGACGATCGGCGCGGCAGTAAAGTGTGATGTTTGCTTGTTTGCTTGTTTCCTTGGGATTGTAGGGAGTTTTCTACCTCTCTGTTCGGTTTTTGTTGTAGTGTCTTACCATGTGGGGTTTGTTTTGTTACGCCTACCTTTCTGGGTGCCTAACCCCGGTCGATGGCAGATAAGGAAAACCCCCAACCATATGGGGTTTTCCAGGGCCATTGCTCCCTGAAACCTCTCTGAAGGGGCCAGGTTCTGGCGCTGGTCCCTGGTAGGTCTGAACTCCTTAGCTAATGTCCCGGTCTAACATAACACACATTAGCCCGATAAGCTCCAGGGAGCCTCCGGGGCTCACCCAGAAAATGGCGTTTCATTACATTCAACGCTGTTTTTTTTTTTTTTTTTTTTTTTTTGAGATATATACAAGAGTTGTTACATTCTTGTACAGCCACTAGTACGCGTAGCGTTTCGGGCAAGTCCTTAATCCTATGGTCCCTGGAATACGATCCCCTGCCGCGAAGAATCGTTTTTTCATCCAAGTACACATTTTACTGTTGCGTTAAACAGAGGCTACAGTTAAGGAATTGCGCCCAGTAAATCCTCCCCGGCCAGGATACGAACCCATGACATAGCGCTCGCGGAACGCCAGGCGAGTGTCTTACCACTACACCACAGAGACTGCTAAAGACCACGGAGTTCTCTCAAGGAGGCAAAGGAAGTGAATGGGAATCAGGCCACAATTAAAGTCAACCATTCAAAGGTACCACAAATCAAATAAATGCTCTTTGAGAAATACAAGAGATAGGTGAAGAGGCAAACAACACCAGCACCAACTTTCTCGGTTGCCACCAGAGGCTCACCCAGGGACCCAACCAGCAACCAGTTTTTCTGCTTCATGTGACACCTTCGTCATTGGCGGTCATTCTTCCTGAGCCTGTACGGTCGAATATATTTGAATATTTGAGTGTCTTTTCTGATTTTCAGATGTGGAGTTTCTAGCCTTGCAAACTCACAATGTAACTGTTCCTATTTTCCGCGTGTTACAACTTGTAATAAAGTTGTTACATCTTGTTATAACATTTTTATGATGTATTAAAATGTTGTTATAGCTTTCTGTATTGGTTGTTACAACTTGTTAGGTGTTAAAACTTGTTCAAATGTTGTAGCAACATTGTAGTTTAGTCGTGTGTTTGACGGGATTAGAACAAGAGAGGTCTTGTTCCTTTGTATAGAAGGCAGGTTGTGGACTGGCTGGTTTACATTGGCATCTTTCCTTTGAGGTGGCTTGGTGTGACCATCAGGTTTTTCAGGTCTTTCTTAAGGGCTCCTCCTTTGTGGCTATTAATAGCATTCTGCACTTGCCCTTGTTCTTCTTCATGATAATAGGGTTTGGCAAGTGCCTAAAGTTACCTTTAACATGGGGGGGGGGGTGGATCACAAGGTAGTCGGTGGTTAACCTGAATTCTTTGTTCAAGTTTTTCCTCTTCCATTTTGTCATCTGCTGCAAGTGTGATTGCAGTTCCCAAGCTGTTAGCTCCACTCCTGTGGGATGTGGTGATAAATTTCTGTGTGGTTCACCATGCCTTCATGTTGGTATTTAAGACTCCAGGAGTCCACATGGTAGCTTTTCCTTCTGTTCACCTCCCTTTCTAAGAGGACCCCTGTCAATAGCTCCCCAATGCTACAATCTTGGTAGTGTTCAAGCCTTACAAACCCCACTGGGCCTCTTGCAAATCCCACTTGCTCGCAAGAAACCAGGACCAGCATCTGGTTCCCTCAAAGAGGGTAAGGAAAGCCTGGGGATCTAAGATAGTGTTCTCTCCTTTTGGGTTGCCCTATCTTCAGATGTGTTCTTCTTGGCTTTCAGTCTCGTCTGATTCACCTTCCTCTTGTTATTCATGGGTTTCGGTTGGCTGGATCTTGTGTTGACCTCTGGTCCTTGGAACCTTGCATTGGAACCTTATTTTTAATGGTGACCCAGTGTGTGGTACTGGGTCACCACTGAGCTGGCTAGAGATGTTTCTTTGGGTTGCTTTTGTAATTGAGTTTGCAGTCTTATCAACTCTTTCTGTGAGGAGCCCCTACGACTCTGGAGCTATCGGGCTAATATGCGATACATTAGACCAGGGTTTTAGTAAATGGAGGTCTGCCTACCGGGGACCACGAGCCAGAACCTGACACCCTCAGAGAGCTGCAGGGAGCAATGGTGTCGGAAAACCCGACACCTTTTAATAATATTACATGCAATATGCAGATAATATTGCTGCTGTTGTATACACAAGTTACCCATAGAAAATGTAACTTGTAGTGGAATTTTCTCAATAGAAAATGGGATATCATTGCCACATAGTACTATAAATTCACCAGCTATTCTGTTGGGAATACAACAAAATACATTAGTCTTTAGACTTTTACCATCATAAAAACATCTCATTTGAATTAATTTAATTATCAGTATCAAAATAAAGTAAATGTGACCCTTCTATCACTTATTGGCATTGGACAAGGAGAGCCAAGGCATCAGTGGTGAAGAAGGTCAGCCATTGTTTGTTAAGACCGAGTCGTTGGAACGAGTTCAGCTCCTATAATTTCTCTTGGACGAAGTGTTATGGAGATCAAATTAGTGCTCTACCATCATCAACACGCTGTCAACAACCACAAGGGAAGTGTCTTTCCGAAATCTTATCTAAGTCATTATTGGTCAGTAATGTAAGGTAGATATGATTAATACCGGTTAGAACACAAACGATCGACTCAACACAGGTAATTAAGCCTTGGTCCTTATCTTATCTAATATACAGTGTTTTCTCTGATATAGCTGTCATATATTAGGATTCCGGCTTTATAGCTTGCGCCCTTTGACAGGAACAAGAAGAGGTAGCAAGACTTGGTACATCAGTTACTATGGGTGATGGAAGCTAGCCTCACACGAGGATAATTTGGTGTCTACATCCTAGTTATATCTGGTGGACTAAACCTGCTGTATAATAAGATAAGGCACCTCCAATTTACTAATATATGTAGTTAATACTGTAGTTTGATTGGCTGCATATATATAAATTTAATATAAACCCCCCTAATGTGTAAGGATCGATTTGTGAGAAATATTGCAGAAATACAGTCCACTTAACATCATACAAATTGCTATCGAAAAATATAAATTAGCGTAAATGTAAATTCTATATAAATTCTATATAAATTCTATATAAATTAAATAAATATAAATCTCACAGGTCGGTTCCCACAAATGGCCCTGGAAAACCCCCCTGTGGTTGGGGGTTTACCTTATCTGCCATCGACCAGGATTAGGCACCCAGAAAGGTAGGCATAACAAACAGACCCTACAAGGTAAGAAAAATGCAAACAAAAGCTGAACAGAGAAGTAGAACTCCCTCTATTCCCATGGAAACAAGCAAACATCACACCCACCCAGGAGGTGGAGGGGGGCTGCATGACAAGCGATGGCGTGGTGTGACGTTTGCTAGTTTCCTTGGGAATAGAGGGAGTTCTACCTCTCTGTTCAGCTTTCGTTTGCATTTTTCTTACCTTGTGGGATCTGTTTTGTTATGCATACCTATTTGGGTGCCTAACCCCAGTCGATGGTAGATAAGGTAAACCCCCATCCACGGGGGGTTTCCAGGGCTATTGCTCCCAGTGCCTCTCTGATGGGGGCCAGGTTCTGGCTCATGGTCCCCGGTAGGCAGAACTCCATTGACTAAAGCCCTTGTCTGATGTATCGCATATTAGCCCGATAGCTCCAGGGAGCCTCCATGGCTCACCCAGGAAAATTACATTTCATTACATTCAACGCTGGTTTTTTGGCACGTGTTAGCCTTTACAATCTTTTGGAATTGCCATTTTTGTCTCTCATTGTGTGTTTGCAGCTTGGTTCTTGAACAGTGTTCCTGGGGACTGCTGTACTTTTCATTGTGTTGGTGCAGTGTCACCATTTATGGAGTTGAAATCTCCTTCCTGTCATTACATTGTCACTCTGGTTTTTCCTTCCTTCCATGTGGTGAAATAACTCTGGGAAGTACTAAGGGGCCTTCCTCAAAAAACAGCATTAAAAGTAATGAAAGACCTCTTTCTCGTCCTTCTCCTGGTAGCTCCCTGTTCTTTCCCAGCCCATCTTCCTGTGGTGTTCAAGTGTCATGCATTGGGCAGTGTGTAAGTGACAGGATTAGCAACTCGGCTCCCCAGGCAACTGGGGCTGTTGTCTGGTGATGATTGAGTGCTCTGAACCTAGGGTTTGGCCTGGTAAAAGATGGTTAGCATAGTTAGGATGAGCATATCCAATATGAACCCATACAGTTGTATGTTTTAGTGCACCACCATTCTGGTTGTCTTTCTCTTGGTTACTGTGGTGGTTCTAGACCTCCCTTCAAGAACCACAGGTCTAGAACCACAGGTTCTAGACCTGTGGTTCTAGTGTCTGCATCCCCCCATAAACCGTTTCCTCTATTGAGGGTGCCAGATTCTGTTTCTGGTAGGTGCTCGTGAATCATTAAAGCCTGTTGTCGTACTGAGGTATATTGGCGTAACTCTGGAAGCTGCTGAGTGATGCACCGGAAAGAGGCATTTCATAATATTCACCACTGACTTTTCCTTTTCAGAATTATAGAAGAGTGATAATATTACATCAATTTAATTTGTTTCAGCTCCTTATGTGGATTTGAAGATGAATCCGCTGGTTAGTGGAGATTGCGGAGGACTTGCCCATAAAGACGCTGTCTACTTTTCAATGCACAAGTTCCTCGGTGGAGTACAGACTCCAGGTGTGTAATGACATCAATACAAATAAATAATAAATTATACATTTTCCTCTAGACTAAATTGCAAGAAATTTTATGCAGTGTACAGTGATGTCTTGATGATCTGGACCAATTGGTTGTGGTGCCTATGGTTGTGAAGTGGGTCCATTACAGTGAAACATTTTCTGTTTGGGTTATTTGTGTGCAACAGTCAATGTGTGTATTTCTGAGCTAGTGACTGAAGTGACATTGACCTCTCTGTCAATGTCACTTAAGTAGTTTGCGTGACATTATTTTGTGGCTCAAAGTAGGGCTCAGCACTTGTTTTATGCTCTTGCGACCTCTCCACTGTAGGTGATAAGTAATGTATCTCTTCATACCATCTTGTCCCCGTCCAGGGTCAGGGAGCTTAATTCACCTATAGGTAAAATACTCTCCCTAGAAGCCCCTCAAATTACCCAAAAAAAACTCTTTAACAAACCTTTTATTATTAAAAAACTGTAAGGGTCATTCTGAACTGTGCTAAGGATTCAATACTGTTATGAACTGCCACCAGATAGCAGCATCAATTTGCTGTTGGACTCTTGAGAGACAGAAGATAAGTTTTGTTCACTTAGATGTCTTCTACGTTACATTTTGCTTTACAAACATGGTTCCAGTCTACTCGTGTATCAGAGATGCACAACGTATCCAACATGAACCTTAGTCCTGGCTTTGTTGCTGTTGATCCTTCCCTTTCACAGTACATACAGTACTTAAATGCTTTAACCTACTAACCTTTAACCTTTAACCTAAAGGTGACCTACTTTAAAACTACCCCCCCTTTTCTTATTCTTACCTTCCTCTTATTCTTACCTCATCCCATTCTTCCATCATCCCTTTATTACACTCATCCCATTCGTACTATTCATCCTATTCTTATTTTTCACCTTACCTTCTTTTAGAAATTACTGTATTCTTTTACCTGCTCCTCACCACACTCTCTTACTTATTTATTGTCCCGTTCCTTCCTCTCTCTCTCCCTCACACATGACTTGGTAATGGTCCAGGACGGACTGAAATGTTGTCGTCGTTTCTCCATCTTCTGATGTGTGGTTTTGGTCATTAATAAATACAGTGGCTCCTTGTTCGAACCTTAACAAATAAAAATTCTGTGGCACATTGCTTGAACAGACTAATGTGAAACAAACCTGTTATGTTTTACACAGTCAAGACCAAATAATACAGGGGTACCTCAGTTTAAGAGTTTAATCCGTTCCTGTAGACGGCTCGTATTCCGAAGCTAATTTCCCCATAAGAAATAATGGGAAATGAATTAATCCATTCCTGACTACCCCAAAAACCCCACCTCAAACTAAATTTTTATACCTAATTCATCTAAATAAACCTACAAAACTATGTTCAAGCTATTACTTACCTTGCTGTTTAATGCTGTAGGCGTATGGAAGATGGTGAGGAGGTGGGAGGAAGAAAGGAGTTACTGTTTGGAAGGGGAGTCCCCTTCCATTATCACATCAGGCAGTGAGGACTTCACTGGTGAGCACACACTGGCACGTTTTGCCTCCATACCACTAGGAATTGTTTGTCTTACTAAGAATCTGTCTAAAGACACTTGTTTTTCCCTACATTTTAACACTTGTCTGTAGTAAGACATCACATTGTCATTTAAAAGGTCAATGCAACGGCCTGCTACAGCTTTATCTGGGTGAGTTTTTTCAACAAAACTTTGCAGTTCTTCCCATACTTCACACATTTTCTTAATCAAGAAGGGACATCCTCTACTGCCTCTACTCACAGCTATTTTCTTAGGTTGAACCTTATCAATGGCTTTCTTGAGACCCATGGCGAGATATATAATAACAACTTTTATGCTCAAATGGCCAAAAAACCGACATAAAACTGTACATCCTTGTGAAGAATTCAGGAGGGATAGTCACTGGGCAGGAGACAATGGTAAACTGAGGGGCGGAGGGGCGACGATCGCCGTACCACCATGTGCTAGGTCGGCCTGAACGCGTATCAACAAACTCACGTTCCGAGGTAACCCTCGCCTTCCAAGACACATTTTCCGAGGAGATCCGGCTCGTATTCCGAAAACTCGCATACAGGGACACTCGTGTTCCAAGGTACCACTGTACTACAACTAGTACAGAACCTTTTTTTAATACAGTATAGATGAACATTCACAGATGACAACAAAGAAATTAATAAAATACTGAGGACAGTGTATGACTGTTTTCGGTGAACTTCTAAATGCACTGAAAATTGACAATCTAACTTTGATTCACGTCTTGGATGTCACCTTAACCACACTGGACTTTGAAGTTGCTATAGGCAGTATTCTCAGGCACTCACTCTACCCCACTAGAGTGGGGTAGAGTGCCAGCCAGGCCACACTTATGGAATTTCCCAAGAAAATTGCCATGTAGGAAGAATACAGCAACTTGGGCTGACTGTGGGAAAAGGGGAGAAGTTGCATAAATAAATAAATAAATATGAAACGGTGAGCCCCAAATATCCACCACTGACAACGTAAAGAAGGCAGACAGCACAGAACAACACAGCACAGCACACCAGTGGACATCACATATATCAAGCTGACAAGCCACTGGAGACAACCAAGTCCTAGAAAAAGGCACCAGAGATCCAGTAACTAACAAATCATCCACTTGAGCATGTTTTGTTTAGTGGCATACAGGTAGTGGTGTATTGCTGCCAACACAAAGTCCACATGTGAAGATCAGCAGAGCCTCAAACCAGGGAAGGGAAACACCTGACGGATCATCCAGGAGAGGTAGATTCAAAAGATCAAAAAAGGTGGAAGATCAGAAGATCTTCAATTTAGATAGAAGGATCTTCAATTTAGACAGAAGGATCTTCAAGTTAGACAGAAGGACCACCCTGCTGACAAAGGTTACCAAGCATGGAGAAAAGTCAACTGAATTGAGAAAAAAAGAAATATCCCCCAACCCCAGCCCAGGCAAACATCCCATGCAACCGCCTTGCAAATGTGAATGGGTTGACAAACCTAGAAGCCATGACTACCATGCTGAGGTAAAGGTGGCCACCAATGGCTGACTGAACGGCAGTGGAAAAAAAGTAGCCTGAAACAAGAAAGAGTGTCTGTGAGTATACTTGACTCACCATGCATGGGATCCATTTAGAGAACAAACATGAAGCCAGGCTACACTCAAGGGTCCAGACCCACATGGGAAACAGGCAAATGACCCACCTGGGTCAAACAAAAAATCACCGAGTTACAGAACATACCAAACCACTGCCAGTTCATGTTCCTTGATGTCTGCCGACTATAGACAAACAATCCAATGACCTAGACTGGCCTGTGGCACACAGAAAATAACCTTCCCCAGTTGAAGCAAAGCATCTGTGAACAGTATGAACAAGGAGGAGGCCTTGTAGCCAAAATCCAAAAATGGGGGGTGGGGTATATATAATATACTAAATATAAACTTATATAATATAAGCCTAATGTGTATAAAATACACCCTGGCTGCCTGTCCCCTGACACAATGAATTATCATTACTGTTATTGAACTCTGTGCTCAGAATTTTCATCCAAATTATTAGATGGTTCTGTGTAAGCTCTGGGTTCTCGGCGCTGGGGTTCTGGTGTTCTGTGACGACTGGCTAGTTTGAGGTTCCTGTCGTCAGAGTTGTCTGTTAACCAGGGTGCATACCCAATTGCAAGATTTAACTGGGAGTTCGGTTGGGCATAAATTGGAGCTGCCTCACATGGGTCAATAGGCTTTCAGTGATTTCCTTTATTTTCATTCACTTCTAAAATGAAAGCTTTGATGTTAAAGTTATTTCCAGTTTGAAGTTTATGGCTTAAGTATAATTTTAATCTGGAATAATTATTCATGAATAATTTATGTAATTTGTTTTTATATTCTAGCCAATGTATGAACATTTCTTCTCCCCTCTCAGGTATTTTAATTGCAAAGAAAAGTTTGTTTGAGAATTCTGTACCTGAAGTATGTGGAGGTGGAACTGTGTTCTATGTGTCAAGAGACTCTCACCGATACTTACAGGTAACAACCTCATATAATTAATTATAATTCTAAACTATAGTTTCAAAACCTATTTCATTCAAATACGCAACTAATGAATCTACTATTCGCTGAGATGGTACCATCTACAAGGTCGCATCAGCCGTGGAGTTCTATAGGCCTATCAGGAGACCAGTGCCAGAATCTGGCTCTCTCTCTCTCAGAGGTGCAAGGAGCGGTGACGTTTTATTTTTGCCACCTCAGTGGGAAATGCAATCAGAAAGTCAGGGAGTCAAAACAAACCACTGCTGGGTTCAAAAAAGATGAAATATCTGAAGCCCGCCTAAGGAACTCCCCCCAACTATGTAAACAAATAATCAAGTTATCTCAAAAATAGTGCAAACTTGTTTTCCAGTCAGGGTCTGAGCTGCCAATTCTAAAGTAAATGTCTGCATCCTCTCAGTGACCTGAAGGGAGGGTGGGGGGGTCTGGGAACCACCGGAGCTCACCCAGAAATTTGCATTTCATTACATTCAATGCCGATTTTCTTAGGGGATCTCCTTGTGGCTTCCTGAAGCTAACTACCCAAGAGGAAAGAAAATACACGGAAATTCACCAGGGAGGAGGAGGCACTGCAACAATTGTGACAAAAATTTGACCTCTGACCTAGAGATACGACCCAAAGCCACACAAAGGACTGAGTCCCAGGAAGATTCACTAGATACTGGTACTGGGCCACCAGAACCCTGTTCGACCTCCAAAAACCCCTGAGCCCAAATGTGTGCTCACTAACCCGACTCGAGTTAAGACATGAAAGTCCCAAGACTCCTGACTCACCCTGGGCAAGGGCCACCACAGGCGAGGAGGACCTACTATAGGTGCAATTCCTGAACACTTCAGAGAAGATATTTCTGACAATGCAAGGGCCTGACAGCCGAGTGGACAGCGCTTCGGATTTGTAGTCCTGAGGTTCTGGGTTCAATCCCTGGTGGAGGCGGAAACAAATGGGCAGAGTTTCTTTCACCCTGATGCTCCTGTTCACCTAGCAGTAAATATGTACCTGGGAGTTAGACAGCTGGTACGGGCTGCTTCCTGGGGATGAGTAAGAAAAAGGAGGCCTGGTCGAGGACCAGGCCACTGGGACGTTAGCCCCGAAATTAACACAAGAAGAAGAGCAGCTCTAGGGAGTACACCAGTAAGGTAATATGCACATATGTAGCTGCAAAATCAAAACTTGTCTGATGCTACACTGCAGTGTAGCAGAAATGCCACCAAGGGCAAACACCACCACTTAGCTACTCAACAAGCAGAACACTGGAGCCAGCACCTAAGAGAGGCAACTCGGTGCACACTGCATCAGCTACAGAACTGAGAGCTCAGACCCTGGCTGACAATGAGCTACCGCCCCCCTTCCCCTAAACGAGAGGAAAGGTGGGTCAAATGACCATGCACTAATATCGAGAGAATTCGATCGTTTGTTTACATAGTTGGGGGAGTTCTTTAGGTGGGTTCGTGGCTTCTGTCTCCTTTGAATTGAGCAGTAGTTTGTTTGACTTGCTGATGTTTTGGTTGCCTTACCCAGTGAGGTGGTGAAAATAAAATGTCACAGCACTCTGTGTCTCTGTGAAGGGGCCAGGTCTGGCTCTGGTCCCTGCTAGACCTATGGAACTCCACTGCGTATACAGTAGTACCATCTCGGCACATATTAGCTTCATGGAGCCACAAGGGTGTTTACCTCAGAAAATATTCAGAAAAATAGAACAAAAATCTGGTATTGGGTCCTTAAAATATTTTTCCCTTATGATCAACCTATGCATTTTAGGAGCTTTTATATTTTGCATTTTTTGGATATCTATTGTTATTAATGTATGTCCTTCTGTTGTTAGAGGTCCATGCTGCTCTATTACACAACACTGTGCTAACATCCTTGTTCAGACAAAAAAGGAACCTCCAGAATTTCCTGAATTCTGAACACAACAACATTTATTTTAAATTTAAATTTTGGCAACTAAAATGATGTGACACGTAATGCAAGATTAGTGTTATCAGTTATTATTAATGATTGGTGTCAGGAGATGTTCACATCACTACGTTGTGGTGTATCTCGGGCCATTTACCTTATCTATGCTCTTAAAGAAGCAATCTTGTACTAATTGCTTGTTAAGTTTATTGCCTCTTGTCCAGGACCTGGAGACACGTGAAGAGGGTGGAACTCCAGCCATTGTCGAGTCTATCCGTGCTGGACTTGTAATGCAGCTGAAAAACTCTGTCACGCCAGAGTTCATAACCACTCGCAACACACACCTTTTAAGGTATGTGATGCAAATTAATTTAGTAAAAGAATCTTTACTAAATCTTGAATTGTTAGGGATTTCCATTTTCATTATTGCATTTTGCTTTTGCTACAAATTAGATATAATACACCGTTTGTTTAGTTTTTGGTATTTTCTCTATTACTGATCACTGAATTCTTACCTTAAAACTTGAACATTTCGATGGCGTTGTACTGTGTTGTCTGAGGTCTTTAGCTCCCCAATCCATTGCTGCAATGATGTCATATGATCCTAAATTTTCACAAATGTTTTCTCTAACCATTATTTCCACATCACACTGACACAGGGTAATTCAAATATGATGCCTCACAAGTGGGCACAGCTTATGGGACCTCCAACAGCTGTACAAAACAAGTCTCTCACAAGCAGTGCTAAAGAGTTTGTGATAAATTTGTTAATCTAGAGATATTTGATACTATAAGTGTTCGTGATATTGCACATAAGCCCATAGTGAAGCACAAAAGGCCAAAATGTATGGCTTAATCAATAAAGAAATTTAAATCTTTGAGTGTCTTGCCTATATGAAGAATGCTTTCTTGGTAAAATAAGTGTTTCTCCAGTTAAATAGAATTAAATCCTTTAGTAGCACCCTGAGCTACTGGAATCACCAAGCCTTAGGTAAAATTACCAGGCCTCTAACACCCATCCTTTCCTAAGGGAAAATAGGACTAGAATTTGGCTCGCTCTATGAGATGAGGGGAAGCTTGGTGATCACAGATCAACTCAAAACTGAGAAAGAACCTGTTAGAAAGCATAGGGACAACAAAAGAAGTGACCGCTTGAAAGACATTCGGTACTCCAACGTAAGCACAGGTAAATAATCATTGCTGTTGAGTAAATACTCTAACCATGACGCACCTGACCATCATCAGATGCAACCCAGATCCCTCATGGTCTTGGCTAGTGTGCCATCTTGCTCATCCTCCTGGTGTTGTAAGTAATGCACATCTCTGCAAGGAATCATCTCCTTCAACCTTTTAGCTAAGTGATGCTGGGTTTCCTTGGAATTATATTTGTCCATGATCATTTCTCTGATCATTTTTATTTGTTTTCCAATTATGTAGAACCTTTGAGCAGTACACGTCAAACGGGGATGATTGCGCCATATCCGACCACACTGCACGAGTCAAAAAGTTGTAGGCATCCCTCCTGGGTGTGAGGGCCTCATTATTAAAAGTGGTAGTCATGGTAACAAATGCTTTAGCAACTCGCAACACTGCCATGCAGCTTGTGCCCACACCATCACTTAATATTGACCAAATCAATAACTGGGACTATTTTACATTGATGGTGTCACAGAAGATCTGGACTGATAAAGAATATGCACAAGGTTGAGAGAGATCATTGAACATAATGTTATTGTCTTTATTGATGTGAACTATTGATATTGATGTTTATTATTTTGTGAACATTGTTATGATGTTGACAGTGGGAGGTAGAAATTCACAGCACACAGCCGTGGTTTTGTTTATCTCTGCATCATGAAACATGACCTCATGTTCATTTAGAAAATAAACTTGTGAAAAATTATTCATAATTTAGTGACAGAAATCTGATAATAATAGTGTTGTGGCTAGATTAGTGGTGTTTGTAGTATATTGGAGGCATTTTGCCGAGTCAGGTGCCATCATTTGCTGGCATCGTATGCTGATAGCCTGTATTACTATGCTGTTCTTGGATTTCATTTCATGCTCACCAGAACTCCTTAGCAGTTTGTTTTGGTACATAAAACTCTAGATAGGTATATATGATGTGTATGTCATGTAAAAACAGCAAAAGCTGTATTTTTCCAGTGGTGGGAGACCCTTTTGGCTACTTGAAGCTACTATGTACTGATATGATACCATCTACTAGGTTGCATCAGCCTTGGAATTGTATAGGCTTACTGGGGGACAAGTGCCAGAACCTGGCCCCCTTCACAGAAGGACAGGGAGTGGTGACATTTATTTTCACCACCTCACTTGGGAAGGCAACCATAAAGTCAGTGAGTTTAACCACATCATTGCTGGCATCAAAAGCCTCAAAACTTGCCAAAAGAACTCCCTAACTTTGTAAACAAATGAGCAAATTCTCTCAGCACTAGTGTGATCTCATTCGCCCCATCACCCTATCTCCCCACTCATTTGCGGGGACAGGAGGAGGTAGCTCACCACCAGCCAGGGTCCCATCTTCCAGTTCTATAGCTGATGTAAGGGGTACCTATTCCATGTTGATTCTGGTGTTCTGCTTGTTCAGGTGAGTGGTGGTGGTGGTGTTTTTCCTCCAATGTGTTTCCTGTTCGCTGTCAAGTTTTGAGTGTTCTTGGAGCTACATGTGTATGGGGTTACCTTCCATGTGTACTCCCTAGTGCTGCCCTTGCACTGCTAGGTTTATCTTCCCTGGAGTGGAGTGTTCGGGAGTCGCTTTCTTAGAAGTTGTCCTCGTTTGTGGTGGCTCTCACCTAAGGTGAGTCTGGTGTTTTGGGACGTACCTGTTCTAACTCGGGTTGGGAGCGATTTTGACTAGCAGGGCACACTAGTGGATTTGCATGCTTCTCTCATCACACAGTGGTCGGCCTTCACAGCCACATTGCATGTGTTAGCTTACATTTAGGTCCAGCATAGCAATTCCAGTACCTGGGTGTCTGCTTGGGTCTCCCCTTCAGACTCTGGAAATCCCCTGTGAGTTTAGTTGTCCTTTGGATATTCCTTCTGAACCTGCTCTCACTTCGTTCGAGTTAAGAGGTTGCTGATCGTCTGTGCCACATGGTGGCGTTCATTCCTTCTATCTCTGCCATGCTGCCTGTTGGGTCACCTTCGACCTTAGGAAATAGCAAAAGGAGTGCCATGAGACATTGTACTGTCGTTGAGAAAAAGAACAAAGGTGGGACACCATCAAAGAAGCCTCCTGCTCTCTGTAAACTTGGCAATAAAAATGCATAAAAAAGACGAGATATGAAGAGCTGAGGAGAAGGTTGAACCAGCAAAATGCATTGCTAGGCCAATCGTCTAATAGAGGAAGAGCTGCTGAAAAATGACCGAGTTTGGACGCCAAGCAAGCGGTGCTGGAAACCAAGGTTGAGCCGGCCACCATGGAGCCAGAAGGATCACCCTCACCTGGTAGGACTTCAACCTGGCCAGGACCCAGAAGAACAGCTGTACCAGGAAGATAAAGTACAAGAACCCCCACCTTGACCAGTCCACCCAAAGACATCCTTTGCTAGGACCTTGCGATTTGGAAATGGAGCCACGTAAAGAGGAAGGCTCTATTTTCTCTATTCAAGATACTGTATGTAGATTGTTTCTGGGGTGAGCTCCGTCGGCTTCCCGGAGCTATCCCAGGCTGATATGCTAATGTCAGACTTTGGCATCAGTCATGTGTATGGAGTTCTTAGGCCTACCGGGGACCACGGCCAGAACCGGGCCCCCTCAGAGAGGCAAGGGAAGCAATGGCCTATAGAAGCCCCCGTGTGGTTGGAAGCATTCTATGCCATCGACCGGAACAGGCACCCAGAAAGCCGCCTCAAAACGCCGCCTCAAAACGCCGCCTCAAAACAAACCACTATTCTGGTTAAAATTGCTACCAAAAGCCGAACTAGTAGATAGAACTCCCCAACCGAAAACAAGCAAACTAGTGTGACGTCGCCCACCGCCGCGCCGCTGTCTGCGCAGCTCCCCCCTCCCCGGGAGGGGGAAGGGGGAGCCCCAGACCCCCACGCCGGCTACCCACACCTCAGTTCTTGAGGCTGATGCTATAGGCGATGGTCGTGTGCTCTGGCTCCGGTGTCACTACTGCACTGTGCTTTGCGTGTGGTGTTGGTTTTGTAGGTGCAAGAGCCAGGAGTTATCTTCAGTACTCGGGCTGCATGCACCTAGGGCTGCCTTCCCTAGGTGCCCTGTAAGTACTGCCCTTGGGGCTTGGGGCCACCTTCCACAGGCTCCTCGGGGTCTGCCTCTGCTGGTCCGTTTTACCATTCGGTTTTTCAACCGCCTGTTGGGCTCTTGGGTGTTCTGTTCTCCCTTGTTACCGGCAGGTAGGAGGCAGTTTGCACTGGTAGGGGTGCAGGGTGCTGCTCAGCTTGTATTCCCGACATTGCGGCCGGCTCTGTTCCTTGGGGATCGCTGTCCTCTTGCGGGGTTTTGTTTTTCTTTTTGCCTGGTGGGGGGGGGGGGTTCTGTCATTTTATTCAGTTTGTTTTTGCCCTTCCACTGTTCTCCTCGGTGGCGCCCCCTGCTAGGTCCCCGTGAGTGTACACGTCCCTGGGGTTCAGCTATAGAAGTTTGCTTGGTAGTTTTGGGTGCTGGTTTGCAGCACCCTTCCTGGGACTACATGAGCGCGAGTCCTCTTAAAGTAAACGCTCTGGACCCTGGGAATCCCCTAAAGGGCGTGTGGGTCCAATGGATGTGACCCCGGAGTCCCCACTCGCTGTGTGCGAGTTTGAGGGTTGCTCGGTCCCCTTGTCTCAGGGTGACCCTCATTGTTTTTGCCTCTGCCACGCTGCCTGTTGGATTGGTGATACTTTCGACCCTGAGTCCAGTGAGTGTTGCTGCTTGCTTGTGACTCAATTTTCCCAATCCTCTGATGATTCTATTCGGGTACAGGCGGCACGTGCGTTGCAGTCTAGGTTTCGTCTGTTGCAACGCACTCGGTTGGTTGCTCACCCGGATGCCCCATGGGTGCCCTGCTTTGCTTTTCGAGACCCGGACTTGGGGGTGGGGGTCGCTTCGATCCTGGTTCAGTCCACACCTCGTCCTTCCCCTTCTGTTCGTTCTGGTCCCCCCCCCCCCCTGCTTCCAGCCCCGAAGCGTCTGAGGGTTTCGGGGTCGGAGCAGGGGTTACTTGATCTCGAGACTCGGGTAGCTTCGGGGGGTGCCCCTTCCGGGGGGGCGGCAGAGGCATTCGAGTCTTGTCTCCCAGCTGAAGTTTCTGGGTCTGACCAGTGGGCCCCCGCTTCCTCCAGCTTTTCCGGCTGCTTCGTCCTTGTCTTGTGGGGTCGGGGCTTGGGGAGAGGACTCGGCCTTGGGTCCTGTGGTGAAGGACCTCGAGGCTGGGGAGGGGCTGACTTGGGGGCCTTGGGCCCCGCTGGACCCCGCCTGGGTTTTTCTTCCCTCTGAGCGGGGCTTATTGTTACAAGGAGTGGGGTTTTCTTTTCCCCCCTCTGCGTACGAGTTGGATTTGGTGTCGGCCCCTCCCTGGGTTCGGTTCCGTGTTCCCCCGGGTACGTCGGTTCCGTCCTTCCAGAGGTTTTCGGCTTATCGCATCCAACCTGGTGTGGTGCGAGCGGCCTTTGCAGCTTACCTCCTGCGTGACCTGGATTATGCCTCGGAAATGGATCCGTCCGAATTCAGGTTTGGGACTTCGTTCCCTTTCTGGCTTCGTTACGAGGTTCCGGAGTCTTCCTGGCTAGCGGACTGCCCCTTGTTTGTTCTGGATTCCTAGCATTCCTTCTGTCGTTCCCGCACACTGGAGTGGCAGGAAGCTTCCACAGTGCTTCAGGTTTTCCTGGGGGGCGAGCTTGAGTACCTGAATGAGTGCTTGTTTGCCCCTGCCCTTCCCCGCGATGTTGGCGTTATTCAGCTCAATGTGCAGGTTCCCACCCTTTCGGCAACACTCAATGCGGAGGACTTGCGCGTCCGGGGCCTTTTGGCTTCGGCCTTGCGGTTCTGTTTGGGTCCGTCCCGGGGTCCGGCACCTTGTCCTCGGCTGCGCGTTCGTCGGCTGCCTTGTTGAAGCTGTTCACGCCGATTTTGCGGGATGCGGTTTCCCTGTTTTATGGTTCTCGTCTCGCGTGTCGGCAGACGGTGCTGGGTTTCTCCGTGAAATCTGCTTGGGCTCTGGCTCTTAGGCGTTCTTCACCGTTTTGTCCTCTTCTGTTTGAGGAGTCGGCCGTGGCGCAGTTTATTCAGGCTGCGTCGGCGGCTTGTCATCCAATGTCGGACTTGTTGGTTTTTCGGGGGTCCCGGGGAGGGTCTTCCCGGAAAGGTCGTGCCAGGGCTCGGGTTTCCTCTCGTCGTGGTAGGCCTCTGGTGTCAGGTTCGGGGTTGGCTCCTCCTGCGGACCCTCCCTCGTCTGGTCGGCGCGGTGTTTGCGCTGTGCGGGGTTCTGGGTCTCGTAAGGGTCGCCGGCCCTTTCGCGGTTTGCCCCCTTGACTGGGCGATGCGGGGGCGGCTTGCACTGTTCGCCCGCACCTGGTCCCACGATTCGTGGGCCTTTCGGGTCGTGTCTCGCGGCCTCCGGTGGCGTTGGGCGGGGCAGGTTTCTTCCCCTGCGCTCTGTCGAGTCGTCTTGGAGTGGGTACGCTTGGGTGTCGTCGAAATGACGTCATCCCTCAGATGGGTTTCCCGTCTGTTTCCGGTTCCGAAACGGGACTGCGCGGACCTGCGGTTCATTCTGGACTTGTCCCGTCTGAACCCCTGGGTTCATTGCCCCTCCTTTCGGATGACTACGCAGTCTCAGGTTTGGCTCCTCTTGGAGCCGGGAGCTTGGATGGTGTCCCTGGACCTCCGGGACGCTTATTGGCATGTCCCGATTCATCCATGGTTCAGGGACTGGCTCGGTTTTGTTGTGGGGCATCTGAGTTACCGCTTTTGTTGTCTCCCGTTCGGGTTGAACCTGGCACCTCGCGTGTTCACGCGCCTTACACGGGTTGTGGTGACTCATTTGCGTCTCCTAGGTGTTCGGGTGTTGGCCTACCTCGACGACTGGCTGGTTTGGGCTCCCAGCCAGTCAGCTTGCTTGCTAGCCAGGGATTTGGTTCTTTCCCAGCTCGCCGAGTTCGGGTTCTTGGTGAACTGGAGGAAGTCCCATCTGGTTCCCTCTCAGGTTCGGACTTGGCTGGGTCTCGTTTGGGACTCTCGAACCGCCTCCTTGTCTCTCCCTCCGGAGTCTCTCCTGCGGCTGTGGTCCCGCCTTCGTCTGTTTCTGGAGGGTCCTCGGGTCACCCGGAGGTTGCTCGAGGGGCTGTGCGGGAGCCTGAACTTCGCGATGGTGGTCTACCCGCCGGATCGGGTTTGGCTTCGACGGCTGTTCTGGTTCCTTCGGGGTTCCCCCTTCCGCCTCTCTCGCGATCGCAGAGTTCGACCCCCAGGGGCCTTGCGTCAGTTGCTGCGTCACCGGCTTCCTCTTCGGGTTTTTCGGGGTTCAGTGCCTTGGCGCCTACTCGAGCCCTCGCTCGATGTGTACACGGATGCGTCGTCTCTCGGCTGGGGTTTTGTGACCAGTGCTCACCAGGCCGGCTAGGGGCGTTGGGATCCGTCCTTCCGTCGAGCTCACAGCACGGTGCGGGAGTTCGCGGCAGTGTGGTTTGCTCTGGGGAGGATTCGGGTGGCCCGCGGATCGACGATTCGGCTCCATTCAGACTGCTCTCCGGTGGTTCATTGCCTGAACCGTGGGAGTTCGATGCGGTCCTTGTCTCTTTGGGGTTGGTCGCTTCGGGTGACTCGTCTGCTGAGTTCTCGGGGTTTGGCTCTCCTGGCGGTTCACGTACGGGGCGTGTCTAACGTCTTGGCCGACACCCTGTCTCGCTTCGTTCCCCTCTCTACGGAGTGGACGGTCGACGATGAGTCCTTCCGTTGGCTTTGCCAGACGTTCGGGCGCCCCGAGGTGGATCTCTTCGCGTCGGCGTAGTCGCGGCGTCTTCCCGTTTATGCGGCGCCCTTCCCCGATCGCGAGGCCATCGGGGTCGATGCCTTTCGGCTAGACTGGTCGAGGTGGGGGTTCCTGTACCTCTTTCCCCCAGTTCGGCTGTTGCTCCAGGTCCTGACTCGCTTAGAGACTTACCAGGGGAGAGTTGTCCTTCTGGCCCCTTGGTGGCCGGCCCAGCCTTGGTTTCAGGCGCTGGTTGCTCGGTGTCCAAACCCGAGGGTTTTCCCGCGGCTCCGCCTCTTTCAGCAGATCGGGCCGGTACGTCACGTGGCTGGTTCGATCTTCTCCTCGAGTCTTCGCGTATGGGTTTTTTGGCTCGAGTATATCATCATCTCTATGGTGATCAGGTGGCCTCCTTGTTGGTGTCCCACCTGAGGGCTTCTTCTCGGCGGCAGTATAAAGTTTCCTGGCTGTCCTTCCGTTTCTTTTTGCGCCTTCGTCGTGTTAGTTCCTTGTCTGTTCGGGTGGTCTTGTCCTTCCTCTCGTGGTTGTTTCAGGACCGTCATCTTATGCCTAACACTGTCGCCTCATATCGTGCGTCGCTGGCGGAGCCGCTTCAGCTTGCTTTCGGTATCAATGTTACGTCTGCGCTGTTCCGCAAGCTGTCTCGTGCGTTGTTTCACCTCCGGCCTGCTCATGCGTTGCCTGAGCCGTCCTGGTCTTTGGACAGAGTGCTCGCTTTCCTTTCGTCTCCGCATTTCGTTGTGGCTACTTCGGTCCAGGATTGTTTTTCCAAGGCACTTTTCTTGTTGGCTTTGGCCTCTGGGGGTCGGGTAGGGGAGCTTCATGCTCTTCTCCGGCGCAGGGGTTTCTGCTCTTTTGGTCGTGGTGATTGTTTTGCTCGTTTGCAGCCGTCTCCTTTTCTGGCGAAGAATGAGACTGCTGCGTTCCGGAGGAGTCCATGGGTGGTTGATGCTTGGTTGGTCAGGCCGGGGGTGCATCATGTTTTGTGTCCGGTTGCGGCGCTTCGCCGTTATTTGCGCGCCACGGCTTCTGTGTCCGGGGATGCGCTGTGGGTTGATCCGTTTTCCCTTCTTTCCTGTTCGCGGGTTCGGGTCTCCCAGGTCGTCCGCAGGGTTATTATTAAGTCCAGCCAGCCTGCGGTCTATCCCCTTGCCCATAACGTTCGTAAGTTCGCGGCTCTTGCTGCCGTCTTTGGGAATATGTCTTGGTCTGATATTCGGGCGCGGGGATTTTGGTGGTCGAACAGGGTCCTGGCTGCTCGTTACCGTGTGAATGTCCCCGGGCCCCATCGGGCCTGTGTTGCTTTGGGTCGGCGGTTGCAGCCAGTTGTCTCGGCTTCGAATTGAGGAGTGAGCGACGACCGCCTCCCGGGTAAGTCCCTCTTTGTCCGTCTGTGGGTAGTTAGCTCCGGGGAGCCGACGGGGCTCCCCCCAGAAAACCAGCATTGAATGTAATGAAACGCCATTTTCTGGGTGAGTCCCGGAGGCTCCCCGGCATCCCTCCCTCCCTCCGGTCGGCGGTTTTTCGCGTTTTTGACATTCAGCCTCAAGAACTGAGGTGTGGGTAGCTGGCGTGGGGGTCTGGGGCTCCCCCTTTCCCCTCCCGGGGAGGGGGGAGCTGCGCAGACAGCGGCGCGGCGGTGTGTGACATCACACTTGTTTCCTTGTTTTCGGTTGGGGAGTTCTATCTACTAGTTCGGCTTTTGGTAGCAATTTTAACCAGAATAGGGGTTTGTTTTGAGGCGCTTACCTTTCTGGGTGCCTGTTCCGGTCGATGGCAGACATAGAATGCTTCCAACCACACGGGGGCTTCTATAGGCCATTGCTCCCCTTGCCTCTCTGAGGGGGCCCGGTTCTGGCCGTGATCCCCGGTAGGCCTAAGAACTCCATACACATGACTGATGCCAAAGTCTGACATTAGCATATCAGCCTGGGATAGCTCCGGGGAGCCTCCGGGACTCACCCAGAAAATGGCGTTTCATTACATTCAACGCTGGTTTTTTGTTCACCTGTACTCGCTGGGCAGTTTTGTTCAGTTTTGGGTCAATCTTTGAATGCTACCCCTGACCTCTTTGAGCACATCGAATTCTTTTCCTGGTGCTCAGAGAGCTCAATCAAGTTCAGAGGTCTGGTAGCATTGTGGATGTATGTAAAAAAAAATTGTGTACAAGAGCCAGTTCACTTGAATGTTTCACTACTTTCAACAGTGAATTTTAAATTTTTATCTTATGTATTTAATTTGTTTATTTTTCAGGAAACTTTCAGAATTGTCAGATAATGTTGAAGAACTAGAGGTGTTGGGAAATGTTGATTTCCCAAACAGACTGCCAATTCTGTCATTTGTTGTACGTCATTTGCAGTCAGGCCTCCTCTTGCATCACAATTTTATTTGTGCTGTCTTGAATGATGTGTATGGAATTCAAGCCCGAGGAGGTTGTGCATGTGCAGGACCTTATGCTCAGGACCTCCTTGGCATTGATGAGGACCTTGCTCAACGCTATGAGAAGTTATTGGTGGAAGATTGCAGATTAGATAGGTCGCATCTTCGAAGACAGCATGAACACAGTGATGTGGAAGTGCTGAGGCCAGGCTTTGTTCGCCTTAATATCCCGTATACAGCTTCAGATGAACAGGTATGGAATCCCAACTTTGTTTTTAATATTCTTAATAAAGGTTTTTTCTGATCTATCTTAGTTGACCTAAAAGGCAAGATTTTACTTTAACTGGGGAGGCAAATCACACAGTCAGGCAAGGCAACATTTGACATTTGAGGTACGAGTGCCATGATACACATTCAGTTTCAAACGTTCTCACAGTGGGCTATACTTTAATTTTGTTTCATTGGAACAATAATCCAGCTCACCGCCAGCTTCTATACACCATAGAAAGCTAAAACCATTCATACTCAAAAAGCATTTACAAGTCCTCCTTGGCAATCTTAAGATTGAAAAGAAATACTTTACCAAATTACTAGTTATCTCATATGCTACCTACTCCCACCACCTATTACCTGTTCAATATTTCACTCTTAAGTTAATGTGTCAGACAAGTACCTGCTTGCTTTGTGATGGCTCCAGGGATCACTACTCTTAGAGTCCAGTCTCTGACCGGTTTTGGGGGAACATAAGAATGTCTGATAATCTAGTTCCACCTTAGATATTTAAGGGATTTGTTGCTAATTTTTCTTATACAGTATAGTATTAAATTTGATGAGATGGCATTGAAAATCCTTTGACCCCTGCATGCTATGTTGTAGTTATGTCATCCAGTAGCATTATTGTTATATGTAACTTTTATCAACCTGTTGATATGTTATCATTTAAGCTTCAGTGGGGTGAAGAAATTCCAAATGCCTTTTTTCCTTCCTTAGGTTGACTTTATACTGAGTGCCGTAAGAGAGGTGTGCATAAATGGATGGCGGTTACTTCCCAAGTATAATTTCAATCCACAAACGGGTGAATGGAAGCACCACACTAATCTGGTCTTCCGTGAGAGATTGTGGCTGCAGAACATCTCCTATGCTAAAGGCTTCTTCTCCTACCAGAGGAAGAATATGTCTGGTGAGGCTCCAAACTATGAAGATTGTCTTATAGAAGCTAGACAAATATTTAATCATTCAAACAAGGTAAGTGTACACACTTATGATCATATATAGGCTGTTGGTTAAGTAGTATCCAGGTTAAGCTTCATAGGCCATTTTCTCTTAAGGCCAAATAGTTCACAGGTGCTTCATTTCTGTTCATATTATAGAAGCCCATGATCCTGTTCAAAGGTTAAACTGCAGTTACAACTATTTTAACACTATCGCTCGGTAATGACTCAGCATTAAGTCATCATTAAGCATTGACTCAGCATTGAGCAGTCACGACTCGGCATTGAGTCGTTAAATTAAGTTGGCTTGTGTTCATATGGGTTGACTTCCTTGGTTCTTTTGACCTGAAATGCCAGTCAATCTGCATAGGTAAAATTTGTCTATCTATAAATAGAAGACCATAAAAACGTCATTTTCACTGTCCATTACTTCGTGATACAAAGAAAATATTACTGTTAACAGCTTGCCAAACCCTCAAACAATAGATTGGTTTCAGGTCAAATGATCATTAGGGAGATTAGACCATTGAAATATGAGAGGTCAAGAATATGAAAATGACAAAGAAATGGGTGGTATTTTGATATGTATTTTGCTTCTATATTTACTGGTGAAGACCTTGATATTAAGCCTATAGGTGAACAAATCTTTGTAGCTGCTAGAGAGGACAAGTTGACTAGTTTAAGGGTTTCCTGGAAGGAAGTTATTTAACAAATAGTAAATATAAAACCCAGTAAGTTCCCCAAGATCAGACAAAATATTTGCCAGGATTCTTAAAGATTCTAAGAAAATCACAGTAATGTGATACTGTATATCAATAAGAAAATCGACGGGAGGGTATTCCCAGACACGCTCTAGACGACTAGGCCACAACGTGGGCCAAAAGAATTGCTTGAGGAACAACCGAGGAACAAACCAGAAAGAGACATTTCTTTACAGTTACTGCTGGGTTTTTACAAATACTGTACCTTTATTCTTATTCCTTATTATTTCAGGTATCTTTAAGACGTCAGGTTCCAGAAGATATTATCCTCTTCCGGGAAGAAGCAGCACGTTTGCGTTGGTTCCTGCTTCCAAGTGAAGCAAAAGAGTTCCTTGCACAGCCCACTACTTCAGTTCTACCTGGTGACAATTGTGGTCCCCTTCCCTTCACGCCGCTGGTCTACCCCCTGAAGGAATCGGACTTGTGCACGAGGCCAGATTTTGTTTGGCAGCCAACAGGGCCTTATATACTGAATACAAAAACAACTAATGTTTCAATGAAGTTCAATCCCAATATTCAAAATAGAGCTAATGAAACTGTTAGAGAAAATATGTGCACGCTTCCAGAAATCACAAAAGAAAAGATGGAGATCTCGGAAGATAAGGGAAGAGACCAAAATGGACAAAACGGTGAAAATATTAACATATCCAGTTGCAATAAACAACAACACCATATATCTTCAGTCAGCAGAGCTGCCAGAGATGATCACAAACATTTCCCAACACAAAATTATTCAGATGCAAGTTCCAGTGAAGAAGACGAAAACACCGCTGTGTCATGTGATCATTCTGGTGCGAATGTCGGTACTCAAGAACAACGTATTGATCACGATAAACTGATAGAGAAGGAAAGGGCCCCTGATGAAAAGGTATCCATACTGGAAAACGAGAAGACGTTCATATTGGAAAATGAGAAGACATCCATATTGGAAAACGAGAAGACATCCATATTGGAAAACGAGAAGACATCCAAATTGGGTGATGAAAAGGCATCCACACTGAATAATAAAAAGGCATCCTTATTGGATAATTTAAAGTCATCCTCACTGGATGATGGAAAGAAATTCATATTCGATAAAGACAATATCCATAAAAAAAATGACAGTGTTGTTTCTTCTAATAAAAGATCCAAAGTAGTGTGTGAAGATCTGTCGTGTTTCATGCAGAGAAAGGACACAAGTCCTTGCACTGTCACTTCAGTACAAAATAAGTGGCATTCTCCTCCAAAGAATATATTCAATCCTGCAGTTGAAGTAAGTTTTAACGTTTTGCTTGTTACAATTTATTTTATAACAGTATTTGAACTTATTATTTTGTTGTTTTCTGAAGGAAGTAGACTGGTTAAACTTGATTTTTCATTCTGCCTATTACTACAGTTAAAAGGTGTACCACTGTCTCTGTTGATAATTATTTTCTTAACCTATCTGTCGCATATCTGCCGGTGACTCTAAGCATCAACATTTCCGCGGCGCGGTCTCTGACCAGGCCACCTAGTTGGTGGTCTGATCAACCAGGCTGCTCGATATGCCTGCTAACAGCATGACGTATGAGTCACAGCCTGATTGATCAGGTATTCTTTGAAAGTGTTTATCACATTCTCTTTTAAACACTGTAAGAGGTTGACCAGTTATAGCCCTTATATGTAAAGTGAGAGTGTTGAAAAGTGTTGGGCTTTTGATGTTGATCGGGTACTGGCGTGCCCTGATTCATCCAGTGTTTTGGGACTGGTTAGGGTTTCATGTGGGGTGTCTCAGTTGCTGCTTCCAACCCAGCAGCAGCCGATTTGAACACAACGTCCAGAATGTTAAGCAGATAGTTTCTCAATTTTGTCTTTTGGGGTTGTACATCTTGGCCTTCCTTAACAACTGGTTGGTTTGGGCTCCCATCTGGTCTGCTTGTCTGTAGGCCAGGCTTCTGGTTCTTTTCCAGTTGGTAAGGTTGGAGAGGTTGGTGTGTGATGTGGAGTCTGCTGGCTCCACTTCAACTAGTCTCCAGTGGTTCTTTGTTCTGTTTTATGTGGGGTTCACTTTGGTCCCTCTGTGGGGCTAATCTCTGTGGGAAGTTTGATTCTTGAGGTTTCCATGTAATTACCTAAGTGTAGTTACAGGATGAGAGCTATGCTCGTGGTGTCCCATCTTCCCAGCACTCTTTGTCATATAACGCTTTGAAACTACTGACGGTCTTGGCTTCCACCACCTTCTCACCTAACTTGTTCCAACCGTCTACCACTGTTTGCGAAAGTGAATTTTCTTATATTTCTTCGACATCTGTATGGTTCATGTCTGGGGCGTGTCTGATAATCTCATGGATGGGCTCTCTTATTTCCATCTTTTCTGAGGGAGCCTTTTGTGGCTCCAGAATCTATCTTGCTGAGGTGGCTCTTAACTACCAGGTCACATCAGCTGTGGGGTTCTGCTTGGCTTACTGGGGGACCAGAGCCAAAACCTGGAACCCCTCACAGAGTGGGATAACACTTCGCCACCTCACCAGCAAAGCTTCCAGAAAGTCAGTGAGCCAATGCAGACTATTGCTAGGTTTAACCCTTAACCACTTAACTGCGCCAACCGAATATTCTCGGTCGGTGGGAAACTGTGCCAACCGAGAAAACTCTTTTTAATTTTTCGGTACCAATTCTAAATGTGTACGAGGTTGGTTGTGTACGAAATGGACTCTTAGGACCTCCAGTGAGAGGCAGCCATCTTGGAAAAAATTCCCAGAATGCCCTCGGGCTGCTGGCTGGGTTAGTACTGAATGAGCAACCATGGGTGGCGCATGCGCCTCTGGCTCCCAAACACCTGTCCGACGCGGTGTTGAAAGATAACGCTCTGTCGGTGAAATTCAAACCTTATTGTTGGAAGAACATAAGGGTCATAATATTGGTGAAGCTTGGTGCAATAAGGACCTAACACAAAGGTCGAGTGCAAGTGATACAACACCTATGAGGACGATACAGCGAGCGTATCCAGTTGTAGCTCTGAGCGTCACCCTTGCAATCCTATGCTATTTACAATTTATTTAGATGATACATAGATGAATCGTTTTCTGCGTTCAGTGATGATGCATCTGATACAAATAGCATAGATGAACAGTGTTAGCAGCTTCCATGGTGGTGTTTTCCACCAAATAGATATTTTCAAGAATACCTGAATCTCTTCCTAACTGACGGACACTCTTGAGGCTAGCTGAATCTTGTTCTGCATACCATTGCCTCTGGCTATGATTGAGCTGGCTGGCTTCTGGAGGGGTTCTTTTGTCCTGACTTTTGATATGTTCAGTCAAGGGTTGTGGTGGTCCTAGAATCTTTATGCACCACTTGAGTTGCTCTGGATGCTGCATTGTTTATTGATCCGGTGTCTTAGTTCCTTGGTTCCTGTGTCATTTCTCCCAGGTCATCCCCAGTTTCTCCCTCTTTTCAGGTTCTGGCTTAATGGAGAGGCAGGTTCTTGAACATTCTACCTCTTCATCAGGTGAGGAGTTCAGGCCCTTTGCTGACTGGCTCTCTCTCAATGTGGGATGAATATTGTTCCGCATTTCTGGGGGGAGCCACTACGGCTCCCCAGAACTGATAAGGATATCCCTAACTTTTGCATCAGTCGATGTGGGTGGAGTTCTAGGCCTACCGGGGACCACGAGCCAGAACCTGGCCCCCCTCAAAGAGGCACGAGGAGCAATGGCTTATAGAAATGCACATGTGATTTGTAGCATTGTATAACTGCCATCGACCGAGACAGGTACTCAGAAAGGTAAGCGCCCAAAACAATGTATTACACCTATTATGGTTAAAAATTACGAAAATAGCCAAACAAGTGGACAGAACTCCCCCAAAAAAAACGAGCTAACAAGCATGACGTCACACAAGCCGTTCAGCTTGTGTCTGCGCAGCTGGGAGGGGGGAAGGGGAAGCCCCAGACCCCCGCACCGGCAATCCACCCTGCAGTTCTTCGGCTGATGTGATACTGCATGACCATGTGGCTCCGCCTCCTGTCTCTTATAGTGCTGTTATCAGTTTCAGTACTGCTCTTACAATGGCGTGCGAGCTGGGAGTAATATGAGGCGGTGACTGTGGTCCAGGTTTACCTTGGGGGCGACTTTGAGCACCTTAATGAGTGCCTTTTCGCTCCCCTTTTGTGGGATGTTGGTGCAGTTCAGCTTCATGTGCAGGTTTCTTCCCTGTCAGCTGCGTTTGTGGCTGAGGACTTGCGCATGCGTGGCTTCTTGGCTTCGGTCCTGCGTTTCTTTTTTCTCCTGGAGCTGTCTTCCGATTGGCTTGCGGAGGATGTAGAGGCGCTTGGGGCCGTTCCTAGGTCTAGCGCCTAGGTCTTGGCTGCTCGTGCGTCATCTGCACTGTTGAAGCTGTTTGCGCCGATTCTGCTGGAGGTGCTGTTGCTGTTTTTCACTGCTCGTCTCGCGGGTCGGCAGGTGGTGCTTGCTTCCTGATTGGAATAAGCTTGGACCCTGGTTCTTAGGTTGTCTTCGCATTTTTGTTCTTTGCTTTTTGCAGCCTCTGCGGTCGAGCAGTATATTTAGTCGGCTTCTTCCAGTTGCTGCCCGATGTCTGACTAATTGATTCTCCTGGGGTCCCAGGTGGGTCCTTCCCGGAGGGGTCGTACCAGGGCTTGTGATTCCGCTCGTCGGTAGGCCACAGGTGCTGGTTTCAGAACCGGTGCTGCCTTCGGTCCCGGCTGCGCCTGGTCGGCGTGATGTTCGCTCTGTGCGCAGGGCGGCTTCTCGTAAGGGGCAGCAGTCCTTTCGTGGTTCACGATGGGGAGGAGGCCTGCTCTGTTCGCTTACGCCTGGTCTCACGATTTGTGGGCTTTTCGGGTCGTTTCTCGCGGCCTGCGGTGGCGTTGGGTGGCTCCTCCTTCGGGGGGTTCGGGGCTGGCAGGGCAGGCCTCTTCACCTGCACTCTGTCGGGTCATCTTGGAGTGGTTGCGCTTGGGCGTGGTCGAAACGATGACGTGTCTCAGGTGGGTTTCCCGTCTGTTTCCAGTTGCGAAACTGGACTGTGTGGACCTGCGGTTCATTCTGGACTTGTCCCATCTGAACCCCTCGGTTTCTTGCCCCTCGTTTCAGATGACCACTCTGTCCCAGGTCCGACTTCTGTTTGAGCCGGGCACTTGGATGGGGTCTCTGGACCTCAAGGACGAGTATTGGCACGTCCCTATTCATCCGGGGGTTCAGGGACTGGCTCGGTTTTGTTGTGGGACATCAGTGTTACCGCTTTTGTGGTCTCCCGTTCGGGTTGAATCTGGAACCTCACGTGTTCACATGGCTTACCCGGGTTATGGTGACCTGCCTGCATCTGTTAGGTGTTCGGGTTTTGGCTTACCTTGACGACTGGCTGGTTTAGGCTCCCAGTCAGTCCACGTGTCTGTTGCCCAGGGGTTTGGTACTTTCCCAGCTAGCCGGGTTCGGGTTCCTGGTGAATTGGCAGAAATTCCTTCTGATTCCTTCCCAGATTTGGTCGTGGCTGGGTCTTGTGTGGGACTCTCGGACTGTTTCCTTGTCTCTCCCCCCTGGAGTTTCTCCTTTGGCTGCGGTCCCACCTGTGCTTGTTTCTGGAGAGCTCCCGGGTCACTCACGGTTGCTTGAGGGTCTGTGCGGGAGCATGAACTTTACGATGATGGTCTACCCGCCGGGTCGGGTATGGCTTCGTCGGCTGCTTTGGTTCCTTCGGGGACGTCCCTTCCGCCTCTCTCGTGATCACTGGGTTCGGACCCCAGGGGTCTCACGTCGTCTATCAGCTGGTGCTTTGTGACCAGGCCAGCCAGGGATGGTGGGGTCCGTCCTTCCGTCAGGCCCACACCCACAGCACGGTGCGGGAGTCCCGTTTCGTTCCCCTGTCCACGGAATGGATGGTCGACGCCGACTCATTCCATTGGGTCTGCCAGACGTTCGGGTGCCCGGAGGTAGACCTCTTCGTGTCGGCGTGGTTGAGGCATCTTCCGATATACGTGGCGCCCTTCCACGACCACAAGGCCGTCGGGGTCGGCGACAGCAGGACTGCTGTCAAGGACTTTCTGGCAGGACTGGTCGAGGTAGGGGGTTTCTTTTCCCCCTAGTTCAGCTGTTGCTCCAGGTCCTGGCTCACTTGGAGATTTACCGAGGGCGAATAGTCCTCTTGGCCCCGTGGTGGCCGGCCCAGTCATGGTTTCAGGCGCTGGTTGCCCGGTGTCCGAACCCAGAGGTTTTTCTGCGGCTCCGCCTCTTTCAGCAGATCGGCCCGGTCTATTACACGACTGGTTCGCTCTTC